GCATATTTAGCAAAATGAGTATATATTTAAAGACTCTTACATGTACGAGTGTTTTGCCTAAATGCATGTATCACATGAATACCCGGTTCCCACAAAGAAGAGAGGGCATCAGATCCACTGGAACTGGAGTTACATATGGTTATGAGCCGCCATGTGGTTGCTGGGAAAGGAGCCCTGGTCCCTGCAAGAGCGTCATGTATTTCCAATTGCTGAACCATCTCTCCAGTCCCAGAAAAGGGAGTCTATTCTAAACATGACTTTCACTAAAATAGCAAAGGTATCTTTAATAATGGTAATGTAGGAGGCTAAAGGTCCAGCTTAAACATTAAAGTACAGTCAAAGAAACTTTTATAACAGAAAGTCATGTTGTGGACAGTATGATGACAGGAATGGACTTATTTGAGGGCAACTGTATCCTCACCATTGCTTTCTCAGCTACTATACTCGAATGAATGAGACGCACAGCAGGAGCAACCATTCAAAATAATTCCTAAATTATCTTACATTACTTTCCCTATGTTGGTAATCTCTATGAGAAAACTATTGATTTTCCTTCTTTTCTGTTTTAGCCAGCTTCTTACTATATAGTTCAGGTTAGCTTCAAATTCCCTATATAGCAAATTAGAAACTAGAACAATTTTACTAAGAGGTCATAGCCATCTCACACCAACTGCTGATGGGGAAAAACAGCAACTCATTTGTTCAATTCCATTATTTTTGTTTCTTAGGAGGAAAAGGAAAATGAAAGACCGACTTCAAGAATTAAAACTGAAGACCAAGGAAATGGAACTCTCTCGGGACAGCCAGGTGTTTGTGGAAGCAGAGGAACAAGGGGTGCTTGTCCAGCAAGCTGTTATTTATGAGAGAGAGCCTGTAGTTGAGAGACACCTACATGAGGTCCAAAAACTGCAGGAGAACATTAACAGCTTTGTTGATGATGTTCAGCGATTTGGACAGCAGCAGAAAAGTCTGGTGGCTTCTATGAGAAGGTTTAGTCTACTTAAACGAGACTCTACCATTGCCAAGGAGATAAAAACTCAAGCAGAACACATAAACAGAGCGCTGGGTGAATTAGTCAAGGAAGTGAAAAAGTCAGAGGTTGAAAATGGTCTATCATCAGTAGTCACGAGGATACTTCAGTCTCAGTATGCTTCCATGTTCCGCCATTTTCAGCAAACCATGTTTCTGTACAATGATACAATAGCTTTAAAGCAGGAAAAGTGCAAGACATTTATTGTGCGTCAGCTTGAAGTGGCTGGAAAAGAAGTGTCTGAAGAGGAAGTCGATGACATGCTTCATCATGGGAAATGGGAGATTTTTAATGAAAGCTTACTCACAGAAACCAGTATCACTAAAGCCCAACTCTCAGAGATTGAACAGAGACACAAAGAACTTGTGAATTTGGAGAACCAAGTGAGGGACCTCCGGGACCTTTTCATTCAGATATCTCTTCTAGTAGAGGAACAAGGAGAGAGCATCAACAACATTGAGGTAATGGTCAACAGCACAAAAGATTACGTTAGCAATACCAAAGAGAAATTTGGACTTGCTGTAAAATACAAAAGAAGAAACCCCTGCAGGGCCCTGTGTTGTTGCTGCTGTCCATGCTGTGCCTCCAAATAAAGATGCCATCTTAGAGACTTTCTCAGGGTTGGTGGCTAAGGTGTCCGCATTTCAGAGTCTTCATACCATGAGTCCAGTCACACACATTTTATCATTGCTAACTGGTCATCTTTCCCCGCTCATCGTTTACCCACTAAAGTTATCAAAACTGCAGACAAGCACTTAGTTAAAATAGATCTTACGTTTCTGGGAAAATATTGAGTTCTGTTGTGCATTTCTGTACTCTTAAGATGAAAGTGATTACTTTATTAATCTGGCTTACTTGAAAATATTTTGGTAATTAACAGTTGTATAAAATAAGACCTTAAAGATGCCATAATGCATAAAAATGAAGCTACGATGCCTATTAAGTCTTGATATTCAGATAGGTAAGTAAACTTGGTGATCATTAGGACCTGGAAAGGTTCAATCCTAAATTTAGTGAAGAATCTAACTGATGACAGTCAAACATAACACCTATTGTGAGGTAAGACAATGTTTCTGTGAACATGGATCTGGACCAGAAACTAAATTAATACAGATTTGAGGGCTTGACAAAGTAAAAATAAAGGCAACTGTGTTCTTGGGCATGTGATATCACTTTATGATGAAGCAAGTGCTAAAGAAAAAAAGTATACATTAATGAAGAGGCCTAAGCAGTCTCCAGCCTTTTGATGATCCTGCTGGTGCAGCCTCCAGAGTGCTTGGATTACACAGGAAGGCATCACTAAAACCATTCTGCTCTTTGCTTGTTTAAACTTGATCTTTTCTTTCACGGAATCTTTTTGCCCACTGTGGCCCAGCTCTATTGTCCTTTTTGTTTAATGAAGTAGGTCACTCTTTTTGGAGTTTCCATACTTTGTTCCTTATGCCTGAACAAACCTGTCCTTATTATCAGCAATTTTATGCTCACTTGAACATTGCCACTGGTGCATGGTCAACACCATAAAGATATTTAGTCTTCCTATTCAAGGACATGATGCCTCTTCATTAATTTATACTTTTTCCCCTTTGGGTAAACTTTTATTGTTTCCTATACATGAAAGCAACATGTTCATCATCAGGATAGTTTTTGTTTTCTTCTATTGCTATTAAGGAGTAACATTTCTCTCCAGTATATATTTGCCACTATTGTCATCAGGAAAAAATGCTTTTGAGAAAGTTCTTGCCTACTGTTCACCCTAGCAGAGCCTTCCTGATGACATGTATCTCATCATCCTTACTTTATCTGCTGGAACTTAATTCCATCTTATAAATCTGTTTGTTACTATGTGAGCCCAACCAACATCCATAGTACATAAGAGTGTTCTTTCCTACCACCAAATTTACTCAGTTCTCTGATTTGATATGTATGCCCCACCTCCCCTCCTTATAGTGTGGAAGGCGGCATTTCTGCTCCAACCCAAGGCATCTTCATTTGTTCACCACAACCCAACCCTCGCTTTTGCAGATTTTTTCTTCTCTTTTCAATACCAGGAATGAGTTCCTCTTCCGGGTCACCACCTCATCACAGTCCTCTGTGTTTCTTACTATTGGGTATCATATAGTCCTTTCCCTTCACATCACTTCAGGACTGACTCCTCACTGTAGGGCTCTATCTGTTCAAACTCTTGGCCAGAGTGGTAGAAAAAAAGTCAGATGATTCTTATATGGCAATCTCTATTTCTTAAAGAACCCTAGGCAAAATTATCAATTGAGAAGAGCACAGTTAAGGGAGCAAGAGGATGAAGGATACAATCAGATCAGAGGGCAGGATTGAAACATCCTAAAAGATGGTGGGAGAATAACCAGGTACCATTTAGGAACCATGGGAAATGTGAACCTAGTCACATTCAGCAGCTTCAGTGTGGGCGGGGATTGTGAAGACACCTGTCTGCTCAGGGTAGTGGCTCTTCCATACCTGTGCAATTGTCCAAAAATGTGTTGAGGGAGCTGGGAACTTTAAAAAATTAAATTGTCATGTTACATCATGTTATAAGTACTATCAAGTAATGTTAATTTAAAAATATAAATTGAATTGCTTCCTACTATGCCAGTTATCAAGCATCACTGTCAAAAAAAGAAGTTTCACATATCCTAGCTAAAAATGCTTAAAGGAGCATTATAAAAAAAGAGCCATTCGACGATAAACTCAACAGCTGACTAGATAATTATGGCAATTACCTCTATGGTACCTTTTAAATTTTTATTTAGAGTTTTACTAAAACTTGGTTATAGCTCTTCTTAAATTATTTATCATGAAAATTAAGATATTAAGTAATATTATATATATATATATATATATATATATATATATATATATATATATATAAATTCAACTATAGCCAAATGAGTTTCTCAAAGTTTTTGTGAGTATTTTATCATGCTTTTAAGGTAAAACTTAAGCACAGATTTGTTGCAAAGCAGTGAATAATAGTCCCTTTGGTTGCCACATTTTCTTTTTATCATATTAATATGAGTTATGCATATTAGTCGGTTCAACAATGACATGACCACACATGCATTTTTGTGCTTGATCATCTCCACCTTCTTGTTTCTCTCTTACCTTCTCGGGTAGTTGCGTTACTATTCACAGGTTGTTCCCCCCCCGCCTTAGATTCTAGATTCTATATACAAGGGAAAAATGTGATATTTGTCTTTCTATCTTTATATAATTTCACTTAACCTGGTGACACATACTTGTATCCATCTTCTTACAAGTGATGTGACTTTGATCTTGTGCGTGGCTTCTATGTTGATGGGCATTACGTTCATGTCATAACATGGCTATGATAAATAATGTCTTACGGCTATCTCTTCAATTGCTTAGCATTATCCTAACCTAAGCAATAAGCACAACATATTTAATCAGTTGTTGAATATTTTGCATATTTTATTTCCACACTTTATGTAAAAGTAAAAGCAGCAATTATTTTCTTAACATAACTATATGAAAGAGAAAACTTATTCTTGAAAGAGTTGATGGAACAGTATTCAAAAGCTGCTAGCTCTGGAAACAGATGACAAAAATAACAAGTAAAAAAACTATTAAGGACTTTTAGGTACTAAATTGGTTTAAGTTGTTTGAATTCATAATAACACTTTGAAATCTTGGATTATCAGCAATCATATTCAAATCTATTTATAGAATGGTAGGAACCCTCTGCATGTCCATACTTTCATTATCAGAATTCACAAGCTGGCACAGGCCTTCAATTCCTCATTTGCAAGTAGAGCCAAGAAAACACAGAAAGAATCAATAACTTTCTGGACTGTGGTGGTTGCACAACTGTAATCCCCATTTTGTGCTAGAGGATTGCTGGGAGTTCAAAGTCAAGCTAGTGTGAAACCTTTTCTCAAGGAAACAAAGGAAGGAAGAGTAAGAAGGGAAACAATGAAGAGGAGAAGAGGGCTGAGGAAAGGAGGGAATGGGAAGAAGGGGGACCTTCCTGAGGCCTGTCTGATTACAAAGGCCTGTCTCACCTTCAAAGTATTGGAGGTCTGGGAAGGAACCAGTGATGCAGAAGTCTATGCTACCATGATGATGCTTAGAAGCACTGTCAAATATTTGTTCTTTGTAAACTTTTAAGAGTGTGTTAGAGACAGAAGAATGAGCTAAGAAGGCTGTGAGTGCAAGTTTACAATGTAAGTAAAGGAAGATAGCAAACATCTTCCAAAAAGAGGTTAAACAGCAGCAAGACAAAGCTTATGCCAATGAGCCCTGCAAGTTCCATGAGTAAAGGACTCAGAGGATGAACTTAGTGAAGGCAATCACATCCGTGTCTATGAAATGGCTGGTGACATGACTCAGGGGTTTCAAACATAGTAAAGACCCATCACTGTATAATAAGACATGTCACTATTCTAATATCTAAACTGGACTATCACAAGTACAATTCTTAAAGTCCTGAAAAGAAATTTGAGACAGTGGCTACAGAGTAAAAACAATGATAGGCAGTGTGATTTATTAGCTCTCTAAAGACAGCTTTCAAGACTACACAAGAGAAGGTCTAAGATTGGCACTCGTCTTCTTAGAACATTGCTCTGAGCTAGCTATGAAATTTTCAATATATTAGGTTGTGTAATGAACCTTCCAGTTCAGTTTATTTCAGAGGCAACCAAACAGTTCCTTGTGCCAGTAATGCAAAGTATAGTAGATACTCAATATTTGTTGAATTAATATATGCATAGATGCATATATGCACAAAAGAAAACAAATAAATGACTATTTGGTTAAAAATACATTAGCTCCTCTACTGCTGACTAACAGTCATTAATATGTTATTCTTACTTTAGAACCAATGAGTCTCTGCTTAAACACTTTCAAAGACTACCTTTAACCTGTAGGACTAAACAAAAGGTCACCTTTGTTTAGTCACTTCTATCAATATTTTACTCCAGATTCAATAACAGGGAGACTCAGTTCTTTAATCAAACATTTAAAAATTTAAAAGCATAAGCTTTACTAATAAATAATCCAATAAAGTTTTAACTTTTATAATCAAAGCTTCAAATGGTGTGTTTTAAAAACCTTCATCTACTATTGAGAACTACAGGCAAGAAACTCCTCTTACATTTTTCTTAATGTAGACATGATGGCTTAATGTGTTTTATACCTTAGTGAGGAATTACAAGAATGAGGGGAAATAGTGCTTCTGCAGAGCACTCTGAGCTGATGGCCCTTTGCTTTGTCGCCCGTTACAGTGCCATCTGGCGTTCACTTAGCATGAATGCTTCGAATGCAAATTTCCCTTCTCAACATCCTCTAGACATGTGCAGGCTTAGGAACAAAACGATGTAAGCATATGACTGAGACAATGAAGCTAGATCACATGTACAACAGGGAAACATGAAAGTTCAGAGTGACAGGTTAAACTGTCACTATAGAAGGAACCATTTAAATAACTTTCAAGAAATATACTACAGAGAAAAGAACAATAGTGGGGAAGGTAGCTCAGTTAGCTGGGAGAGTGCATGCCTTGCTTGAACAAGGCTATATATGGATTAGTTTGATTAAGGTGGTTCACACCTGTATCCCGGGTAGAGGTGACAGATCTGAAATTTA